AAGTGGACAAATACTCTGGGATAGAGGTGGGCACAGATCGTGACGGTCCGGTTTTAGGTTGTCCCACGTCTTGTCCCGTTATATATAAACGGTTCGGAACGGTTCGGATTACAACCTTATCCCAGTTTGTCCCATAAAATTCAGGATCGGAATAAAACGGGATGAATTCAGATCGTCCTATTTTGTCCTAAATCGCAAATATAAGAAGTTGGAGAGAGTGACATTTCATTCAAAAAAAGAAACATGTAGTCATCCAACAAAAAACAATGAGTGGAACGGGTCCAAATAAATTTCAAGCCTATGAATTTAACTTAATTAAATAACTAATTAATTAAAGAATGAGTGTATTTGGATTTTGGACTAGAATTAGTATTATATATTAGTAGAGTAGATGAAACGGGACAAACGGGACGGATCAGTATAAATTTTAGTTGTCCCACTCATGTCCCATTTGATATTGGGACGGAACGGGTTTGAGATAAAAAAAATTTGTCCCAATATATCGGTACAATTATAAAACGGAACCGAGATTTTTGAAACGGTCCAACAGGAACGGATTTCATGTCCACCCCTACTCTCGGACACGGAGGAAGTACCTCTTTATCATCCTTGAACAATCGGGAACTTCTCAAGTAATCCATCAAGTTTTTTTTGAAAGTTTGGTTAAAGTTTTACTATGAGTAAGTTGTATCTTTTAATTGAGTTTTAATTTTTTATAGATTAATAAGAAAATATTATTCTCTGTTCCATATACTTTTTAAATATGTAAGTTTTATTTTTTATTTTTATACCAATATTTAAATAAAATAAATTGAAAAAATTAGAGATTTTTCTTCGTTTTGTGCAACTTAAAGAAAGATATAGAACGGAATGAGTAACAAACATTCAAAATACTACTTTCTTATCATTTGTTCTTTTTGTAAGATTTGATAACCATTTCTTGTATTTGATTATTCATTTTCTCAATTTTTATGTTTTTTTATTTAAATGTACTTTTGAATTTTATGAGTATAAAATAAAAAGTTTTGTGACATTTTTAAGTGCAAATTATCGAAACTAATACAGAACAATTCCGAACCATAATATTGAATTTATATTTTTGTGCAATGCTCACCTCTAATCTTTTACCTCTAATCTTCCTTTATCCACGGAAATGGCGGCAGCCATGGTTGCATTACACTCGCCAAAACCAACCCTGCTGCAGAGCCCATCATCGTCTTCTTCATCACTCAATGAGTTAACTCCCAGCTTCAATCTCGGGTCGCCATTAAAGGGCATCTCTTTACAGGCGCAACCCATAAGAGGCGGAGGGAGGAGACGCCGTGTTGGGTCGGCAGCGATCTCCGCCGTTTCCGGAAGCTCTTCCGCCAAGAGCGGCGGCGGCGGTTATGGAGGGAGGTTTTATATTAATTTTACTGGATTCCCTTTCCCTCTCGGGCCGTTCCTCAACCGGCTCACCATTAGGACTGAGGTGCGGATCTCAAATTGATGAATTTCATAATTTGATCTCATTCAAGCCAATGAATATGCACATGAATTGCGTCTAAGTTCATTCAATTCAATTCTTGATGTATCAAAAAATTCCTAATGGTCAATTAAATGTGAATGTAGGGGAAAAAATGAAAAAATTACTCGGGTACTAAGAAAGAAGCTGGTTCTTATACCATATTAACACTACGTGGTTCAAAGAATTTGAGAAGGAGAGGAAAAGAAAATAAGAAAGAAAACATTTTTTTTGTTTGGTTCAAGAGGAAAACAAAAGAAAAGTGGAAGGAAAAGAAAATGAGAAGACAAAAAATACTAAGAGGGTGTTTGGGATTGCATTTGAAAATAACTTATAGCTTCTACAAATAACTTATAACTTTAGCTTATAAATTATGGGTTTAGAAGTTAAAATTAAGGTCTAGAAGTGCTTTCTAGCAAAGCTACAAATACATGTTTTCTGCTTCCAAATTATGACTTCTACTTTTACATAACTCACCACACTCCCAAACACCCTCTAAGGGGAGGGAAAACCAAATTTCTTCCATTTTGGTGAAGAAAATGAGGGAAATTTTTTTTCTTTTCTTTTCCTTTCAAATTTCTTGAACCAAACATAGTGTAAGGCTTGTAGTTTCCTAAAAATATTAGTCAAAGATCATAGTTAGCAGATGTGGTAGGACTTAACATTGTAGAGAATGTGTTCACTTAGACTTGCTTGGAATCTATTCTACTGTTTGTGAAGCTGCAATTGTGGTATGATTCTGAAACAAAATAACCCAAAAATGTAATGAAAACCAGATTCCGTTTCAGATTAAGAAAAATGCTCAAATCACCCCAATCTTACATTGAACAATAACATGAGTTTGTGGATATCTGTGAGACAGTTGGATGAGTTGTGGTGTGCCCCTATCATGGTTCTTTCCCAGAATTTAAAAGAGATTATTCTTAATTGACAGTAGAATCTGTTTTAAAAATTCCGAAACAAACGCCCTCTAATGTTGAGTCAAGGATAAGTACAAACCGGTATGCTGTACCCTGGGATATTGTATTCTGCTGAAACATAATTTATTTCACTAACATTTGTATGTCGTTATTGATAAATGTGACAGGTGGTGAAAGACTCTATATGGTTGTTTGAACAGGAACAAGCACTTGGCTTCATCAGTGTCTCAACTAACATCAGAATGACTGTAATCAAACTTAAATCGAGCGGGTTATGGATTCACGCACCAATTGCTCCAACAAAGGAGTGTATCCAGGTAGTTCTTAAAGTATCCTTTAGGGCCTTACCCACATCACCCATCGTATTCCAACTCCTACTTCAATTCTCAGGTTTTGTTTGCTTGTTGTTTTTAAAATATAAAAAGGGAAACTTAGATCTTGTTTGTTTTATGTTTCATCATCGTTTATGCGCTGCGGTGTGGTTTTCCACCACATCCTTGTTTGTTTCCATTTCCATGATATGCTTTCCGCTGGTAATTAATGGGGTTTCCAAAGATTTGTAAAGCACAAATTTGGTTGGTTTCTATTGTTTAAAAAAACATCAGTTCCTATTATACCACTTTAAGGCCTTGCTTGGGAAGAGCGTTTTTTATTAGCGTTAGCGCTTTAACTTTTATTAAACTCCTGGATGCCTCATTGTTAGAATACATTTTATTGGTCCATTTTCGTATGTTTGCAGCTATAGTTAGCTAGTCTGGTCCGGTCCATGTAGAATAACTAGCTCATTAACAATCATTTTATATACACATTCTTCACCCATATTATCACAGTAAACAACAACATTGTATACTAATTCGTACTAAACTCCTATCATACCCTATACTATAGCTTTGTATATCATATAATATCACACATGCTTTCCAAACATCGTAAATCGTAATAGTGACTACAGTACGTCAACCATCCACTGCAAGTGGAGATTGCATCGTCTTTGATCAACTTTATTCAATCTTCAGTTTCTTCTTATTGTAAGCATTAGCATCTTGAGTAAACTTTTTGCTTTTCTGCAGCTTGTGAAAGAGTTGGGATATCCCGTGGAATATATTGTGTTGCCTACATTTGCATATGAACACAAAATATTCGTTGGCCCATTCTCCAGAAAGTTTCCACGTGCTCAAGTATGGGTGGCTCCAAGGCAATGGAGTTGGCCTTTAAATCTTCCGCTTGAGTTTTTTGGGATATTCGGTGCCAAACCCTTACAAGATGGAGACCTGTCCACTCCGTGGGCTGATGAAATTGAGCAGAAAGTTCTTAGTTCTCCAGAAGTTGGTAATGACTTGATGAATCTTCCTAACTTGATCCAAGTATTGAGTGGTAGAGGCAGATCTCATTGAAGAAATTTATTAAAATTCTTTTTTTAATTAAAAAAAAAGAAGAAGAAAGAACATGACCCTAATGAAAAGAAGAAGAATTCTTTTAGCTAGAGTCTAGAGAAGCATAATTGAGTAAGAAGTAGAGTTTCTGGAGTGTTGGACACTTGGACCTAACTCACGTTTATATGTAGAAACCGATGTAGGATAGTCAAAAGAACACACTTATGGGGTGAGCAAATAGGCTAAACACAAACTGAAATGGGCTGCCCCAAACGCGCCCCACTAACAAAAATGGTACCAGACACTGATTCAATGTGAATTGGGCCTAACTAACTTCAAAAAAATCCTCACGAAGTGAGAAAGACCCTACAGCGACTTATGTGTTGGATACTGGGCAAAAAAAACACATTTACATGAAAATGAATTCTTTTGGTGGGAGGACCAAATTAGTGTAGGAAATGGAGTATTGTGCAGTAATCTAAATTGCATGGTCTACACGGCCTTTCTTGTTTCAGGTATTGGACCTTATGTGGAGGTGGCATTCTATCATAAGCGTTCACAGACACTATTAGTGACAGATGCTGTAATCTTTGTTCCTAGGAGTCCTCCTGAGTGTATTAGCAAGGAGTCTCTACTCAAATCTGCAAAGAATGGTGTGGCTGTCAAAATCCTCAGTAAGGGGAAGCAAGTCCCAGATGAGCCTATTGTCGACACCAAGATGAACCGGCAGAAAGGTCTGTTCTTTTACTAAATAGGTCACTGTGCTTCATTGTAAGGGGGCGTTTGGTGCAAGTGGTCTCACTTTGCCTCCGTTAATGTAGTGTGTGAGGTTACCTTGTTTTGATTCAGGTTTTAGATTTCCAGACAACCTTGGGCTTCTCACCTTGTACCTAATAATGTAACAACATACTCCTTCCGTCCCAAAAAAATCATTTGCTTTTCAAGGAGTTTAAGAAAAAATAAAATTGTATGATGAAAATAATGTGAACCATTTATTTCTTTCCCTAAATGGAATGAGAATCTCTTTTTGGGACAATTGAAAAAGGAAAGCATCAAGTTCTTTTAGGAACATAAGTAGTATATAATATTGCTTTCGTGAACCAAAGAGTTTGTACAAAAGGAGTGATTTTTTAACTCCTGTAATCTTAATTCCCAAAATCTTTCACTGCCTTCCATGAAAGGTAACCCTATTACCTAAGGTAGTCCTACATCCTTTGAACCAATGCACCCTTTGGGACAAGAAAGATGCCAACAGAAGACGAAAACAAACATTTGATCTTTTTCTGGTGTTGCAGGATGGGAAAGAATGGTTCTTCAGATACTGTTTCTGGGACCGTCAAATCTTCTGGAGCCAAACACTAGCTTTGCTCAAGTATCACAGAAACTTATTGTTTCACCTATTGTGAAGACATTGGTATTCAGCAAAGTTCCTGAAAAGGTATGCTTACTACTTCTTTATATGCCAAGATACAGCACCTCTTCATTAGCCACTTCAAAGTAAGAACGCAACATTCTTGTTGAATATATAGCCCTTTTTACATGTTATCAAAGCCTAGGCTTGGCAGCTCAAAAAAAGATGTCTGATATATGCAAGCAAATGAAGCAATTGATAACATGAGACAAAAAGACCCAAGTTGCACCAGAGGAGAGATGTTGAGGTTTTGAGGATATAATCCAAGATCGAACACTTGTTAAAAATGACTAACATACTCCCCAGTCTCTTAAAACTTTTCCTCGTTCATTTTTTTGCTTGCCCGAAAAGAACTTCTCCCTTTGGCCTTAATGGACATAAATGCTCGTTTTTTTCTAAATCTAACCTAACCTATCTCAACCCTCTTCTACGCCTTCCATATTCTGGTGTTTTCCAAATCATACTAATATCAACTTTTGTCATTTACCATTGGTCAAACGTCAACAGCTTCTCCTCCCAAAAATCAAAACATGAACTGTTTTTAGGGACGGAAGAAGTATACGAATATGATTTGCTCCTCCCATCGCCGATTGGTTTTGGGTTGAAATATCATATTGATACAGCTGCATGTGCATACCATGAATGCGGCTCTAGCCGTACATGAAATTTTATGTTGTAATATTTTCGCTAATGTGGGCATCATCATCATCATCATCATCAGGTTAGAGATTGGGTGGACAGCATAGTGCAGGACTGGAGGTTCAAGAGAATAATCTCAGCTCATTTCTCTGCGCCGATCAATGCAAGGGGATCGGACTTGTTAGCAGCGTTTGCGTTCCTAGACGATCTGCTAGGTGCCCCAAGGAGACCGATGTCTTTCTCCCTTTTCTTGACATCACTGTTAGGGAAAGCATCAAGCTATTTTCCTCCGGATGATATGAGGACTCTGTCATCCCTTGATGACTTCTTGGTCTCCATTGGAGCTGTTAAGAGAACCATCTCTGGTCGAAAACAATGATTCACTGTGTTGTACAATGTACATTTTCACCCAAAATGCAAATTAATTCCTCCGTGTGAATTTACATTGATAATGAAGCAGTTTGTTTAGTGAAAAATAAAAGCTAGGGATACACTAAGCTTGTACCCTAACTTGCACACTAATGTGTCACTGACATACACAGATAACAATTGTTGTATGTATGTGTGTGATATATTTGGTGTGCAAGACGGGGGACGAATTCGGTAAACGAGAAATAACTTGCTGAAGTTAGATCAAATCCGATTGATCCTAATTTCTAAGCTAATTTTTTTCTTCTAAAACAATATGAAATATAATGAGTAATACAAAATATAATGTCATTTTGCTTGTTGCTTCTTTGTCGTGATGTGGTGTGAGCTTTTTCATAAAATAGTCAAAAGTTTTGATTGTGAATTACTCTGTTCTAATTACTCTGTTCGCAAATCATTTTATATAAAAAGTAATGTAAAATTTAAAAATAAAAAATTGTAAATTCAAAAACTACATCAAAATATTTACCTTTTTTTTCTTCCCAAAATAAGTTGCATGTTAGTTGTTTTCGTAAACTTTTAAAAATAAAATAGCTAAACTACCCCTAAAATAAGTTAATCTTCTTCACCTAATCTTTTCATTCATCATCATCCCTTCTAAAATGTAATGATAATTTTGAAAAATCAACTCTATTTTTTATTTTCCTTAAATATGCCCAAAAGTCAAAACAGATGATTTAAATTGGGACGGAGTGGTGACAAGATTATAATATTTTGTCAAATTCTTAATGAAAATAGGAAAAGAAAACTCATGAAATTTGACTCTACAAATAGCAAATATGCCAGTTTCAACTTATTCCAAGACAAAAATAAGTTTACTTTCTTTTCTTATTTTCGTTACTCATTTGATATAAAATAATATAGTATAATCGCATCTTGTTTTGTAGAGCTTTTTATGTAGTTTTTGATATATAAATTTTATTTTTTAATTCTCTTCCAATTCTCAAAAATAAACACTCAAAAATAAACATTACAAGAGAGCTTTTTATAATGCTCAGTTCCATTACAAATATACACCTTTGCCGTTTACTGGGAGAATGATGCTTCTTTGTCCACAGGAGAAGAAGCACCCAAAGCGCCCGAAGAAGAACCGGACACCCTTCTGAATACAAGTTTGGCTTGGGGAAGCTGACCGTTGGGAACCGCGGATACCTCGGTGTCAACCAACACGGTGTCTTCATCTCTGAAATCCCCCCTCAAGATGCCCTTTGCTATCTCATTCTCCACGTTCTGCTGAATCGTTCTCTTCACAGGCCGGGCCCCGTAGCTCGGATCGTACCCGAGGCTTCCCAGCAGCTCAACCGCAGCTTCACTCACTCGTAGCTTCATTTTCCGGTCGGACAATCTGTGCTGCACGCGTCCCAGCTAAGTTGACCAATAAAAACCAGTTAGTTAACAAACAAGCACTTCTTACACTATGTTTTTGGTTCAGGGAAGTTGAATGAGAAAAGAAAAGAAAATGAAAGGAAAAAGAATTTTTCTTGTTTGGTTAGAGAAGCAAAGAAAAGTAAATGCGAAGACAAAATGTACTAAAACGAGGTAACAGCGAATTCCTCACATTTTGGGGAAGAAAATGAGTGAGAATCGTTAAATATAGGTTAAAAAATAGGTTAAAGATAGGTTTAAAAAATAGGTTAAAAAAATTGGTCTTGAAAAACACACCTGTAATCGGACGATACTCTTGATCTGCTCGCGGTCAAGGGGCTGGAACACTATGTATTCATCAACACGGTTCATGAATTCAGGGCGAAAAATGGCTCTTGCAGCCTCCATCACCCTTTGCTTTATGGTTTCATAAGATAGCTCGCTCTCGTCTAGCGAATTCAGAATATATTGTGACCCCACATTTGATGTCATAATGATGACAGTGTTTGTGAAGCTCACAGTGCGCCCCTGGGAGTCGGTGACCCTACCATCATCCAAGATTTGAAGGAAAACATTGAACACGTCGGCGTGTGCCTTTTCTATCTCGTCAAACAAGATAACCGCGTAGGGTCTCCTACGAACAATCTCAGTCAACTGTCCTCCTTCCTCGTACCCTACGTACCCGGGTGGGGCACCTATTAGTCTTGAGACTGCATGTTTCTCCATGTACTCACTCATGTCGACACGCACAAGGGCTTCCTCTGTGTTGAACAGATAGGTCGCGAGTGCCTTGGCTAACTCCGTCTTTCCGACACCCGTGGGGCCCATGAACATGAAGCTAGCAATCGGGCGGTGCGGGTCCGAAAGACCGGCCCGAGACCTCTGAATTGCTTCGGCCACGGATCTGACAGCTGGGTCTTGGCCAACAACCCGTTTATGGAGTTCTTCCTCTAAATGCAGAAGCTTTTCCCTTTCAGACTGTTGTAACTTGGAGACTGGAATTCCAGTCCATTTGCTGACAATCTCTGCAATGTCGTTCCCAGTAACTTCTTCTCTAAGCATGGATTTCCCAGACTTCAAATATTCGTCTAACTCTTTCTCCGCGGCATCAAGCTGGTGCTGCAATGAGTTTAGGCTACCATACTTGAGTTCAGCAGCACGGTTGAGATCATACTCCCTTTCTGCCTGTTGGATCTCAAGATTCACCCTATCAATCTGCACACAATGCAAGTTCAATCAGTTTCAGATCTCAAAACTCAACAAGAATTATGATTAGGAAATCAGAATTGCATACCTCTTCCTTGATGGACTGCAAGTGTGTCATGACGGTCTTTTCATGCTCCCACTGCTGGTTCAGTTCAGATTGCTTCTGCTTTAGTAGAGACAACTCAGTCTCAAGGCGATTTAACCGATCTTTGGATGCTTTGTCTGTGTCATTAGTAAGTGATAGCCTCTCCATCTCCATCTTAAGAACTGCACGGTTGATCTCGTCAAGGGCTGTGGGCTTTGAGGTAATTTCCATTTTCAATTTTGCTGCAGCTTCATCCACTAGATCAATAGCTGCAATGAGAGAACAGAGTCAGA